TACTCAGTCACTCTGCCCTCTGGATATATCAAAAGAAGGCTCGGGATGTACATTATAATATATGATGTCGAAGTCCGTTAAGAATTACTGTCGGCTATGTCCTTCTGAACGTGCATTTTTTTATTTTCCATTTTTTTTTCCCTGGGAGTGGGAAAGGGTTTAGGGGGATTAAGCACTAGAAGCACTAATCTAATACAAGCTCTGAAACTCTCAACAGGTTCTGCTTAGTTTTTGGAACCTGGGGGGGGGGGGGGGAAAGGGGGGGGGGGGGGATTTGAGGGTGGAGATGGTGAAGTCAGTGAGGTGGAAATGGCGGTGACGATGGTTGTAGTGTATGTTTGGCGTTTGTTTTTTGTTGCAGTTTTGTTCGGGGTTTTTTTTTTTGTATTTTGTTTGTTTTGGGGTTGTTGTTTGGTTGGGGGGGGGGGGTTTGGGGGGGTGCAAGTGTTTTGCGGCGCTCGCAACTGCATAAGAGCGCACGGGACACATTAATAAACATTTTTCAGTTTGGTTGGGGCTAATTTTGAATTTTGCCCGGATGGCGGCCAAAGCCTACTCTAATCGATTTTTGGACCAGCAAGGGTTTGAACATGCGCAACTTGCCCACTGGACCTCCAAAATTTTCCGCCCTTATCCGAAAAGGCTATATGTTAGATCTTACCTACCCTTAGATCAGGAGGGTGGCTGAAAGACATCAGTATGAAGGCGCTAAGGATTAGCAGTAGAAAGACTGCAGAAAAGGCTAGGAGCCCAGAGGAGGGGGCAAAAGGGATGGGGGTGGGGGGCAGAAATTGGAGACGAAAGCAGACGAGGGAGCGCGGTTAGAACGCAGGAAAGGATGTGAATAATAATATTGTGAAAGGAGAAATTTTTAGAGAACATTTTCCGTCACTGTCCGGTTTCGAACCCGGGATCTGTTTAACGAGAGGCGAACACTGTAACCTCCAGACCACGAGAGTCCCCATGGTTTTGATTGTAGTTTTGTAGTGCTGCTGTTGCTGCGAAAGGAATATTACAAACGTTTTGTCTCTCTTAAAACCTATTTTCAGTCTCGTTAGGCCCCACATTGGTGCAAAATCCTATGTGCATTAAAACGTGCGCACATGCAAACACACACACACACACACACACACACACACACACACACACACACACACACACACACACACACACATAGATAGATAGATAGATAGATAGATAGATAGATAGATAGATAGATAGATAGATAGATAGACACCCACATGCACACACACGTATACACACACATACACACACAGACACACACACACACACACACCAAACGAAAGTCTGAGAAACGTACCTGTGAACGTTGCCACTACCAATTCGTGAAGCAACAACAACGTCAGCTGGAAAGCTTAGACTGATCATCCTTTACTCTATTTCATACATATATACCGGTTTGTGAGAGCGATTAGTTAGCGTGAATATCAGCTGGCGGTTCAGGCCCACATAATGAACCGTGGCAACGTTTGTATCGCGGTATTTACCACATCTAGGAGACGAGAAAGAAAAATGATAAGAGTTATCAGGGCTTTAGATTACCCAACTTTTAGACCTGCGTGTGAAGGCCTGAGAAGATTTTAAAACAGAACAATTTGTATCTTGTTTAACAGCGGTAATAATAATAATAATAATAATAATAATAATAATAATAATAATAATAATAATAATAATAATAATAATAATAATACGCTCGTAATAGTGTGTTGTAGTTGTAGTGTCAAGACTACTATTATTGCAGACAATAGGACTATAGCAGCGATAGCATACAACTAGAGATGAGACGGACACAGAAGAAGAGGCACACCCAGGAAAAGATTGATAGACGGGTTTATAAAAACATTAGATTTTAAAAAAAAAAACATAACTATGCAACAGGCGGTACAACAAACACGAGAAAGACGTTTGCTTCTCCCCTCGACACCGTAAGGTAACAGAGGCTGGCAAATAGAAGGTAAAAGTGAAAGAAAGAAAAGAAAGAAAGAGAGAAAGAAAGAAAGAAAGAGAGAGAGAGAGAGAGAGAGAGAGAGAGAGAGAGAGAGAGAGAGAGAGAGAGAGAGAAAGTAAGAAAGAAAGAAAGAAAGAAAGAAAGAAAGAAAGAAAGGAT